CAAAAATAAGCATGCGCGGTAGGTGCATGGGGCTGCCATGGGCTCTCACTTGAAAGCAGTCTTGAGTGCTTGCTAAGGATACCCGCTCGGGCCTGCAGTCTAGTGACATCCAGGTTCGCGCCGATGCCTCGCTCTAGATGTGGAAAGGAGATGGGAGCCTTGAGTCAGGAGCGCTGCGAGTGGATTGCGAACGGGAGCAAGCACGCGCGGATCGGAGTGGAAGTCTTTGTCTATACTACTCTCGATCGAAGTGGCTGAATCTGGCGGTGCTGTACGCGAGCATGGGTGCCCCTGAGCGCACCGGGCCACGTACAGATCTGCCCGAATTGTTCGGCAGCGGGAACATGAGTGAGTGTTCGAAGTCGTTTAGTGTAGTCGCGAGGCGGAAGTCAGACCCATGTTTTTGACAAACGCAGCAGTCTGGGATGGACAGGCATGTGGGCACCCACACCATTGATTGATTCAGCTACCCGCACCGTTTGAGAGGTGAGCTGCTGCACAACAAAATCGTTATTCACTTGACGAGACGGTCCGAGCTCAAGAAGATGTACGTGGGTCCCACCTTAGCTCGACGTGAGGCACGACATGCATCTCAGATATCCTGCGCAACGTGGATCCATCTGACCTCTCAATTACGAGCCAGGTGAGACCAATGCTGGATTTGGCTATCACTCAACTGTGTGCAAGCGCATCTCTAGCTCCTAAATGGAAGTCTTTATTGCGTCTTATCATGCAGAAACGTCTACATCTGACATCACTGACTGAACTAGAATCTTCGCTCGGTTCCGCAAAAGCTGACGCACCCGCAAACTTCAGCCACCGATCAAGGTCTCAAGACAAGTCAAATAAATTCCCATGCACGACGCGCTCTGATGAGCCTCTCAGCGTGCATGGACGGCAGCCATGTACAGCAGAACACAGACGGACATCCGTGGACGCAACTTTGCAAGTTCTTGGCTTCGGTCTCACTTGCGGCGTCTTGAGCCATTGCAGCATTGCATGCTGTATGTGTATTGTTGCTGATGACCATCATAGGCTTGAAGACAGAGGCCCGAAGACGCAGTCAAGAGCCAGTCTAGCCGATTGCGCGGCGTGTGTGCGGATTTGGCGCAGTGCCGCTCGCTCACACAGCAGTACACCCACGAGCAAGCCGAATGGAATTTCAGTCTAGCAGATGAGGGGTGCAGCGGCACGCCCAGACGAGCAGGAAGCCACGTCCAGCAAATTCCCATGCCAGTGTGCACTTGCCAATGCAGCGAGCTTAAGCTGCATGCATGCCCCAGGTATCACTGATGAGCGCCCAGGGCCAACTGCTTCCTTGGCTCAACTGCCTCAGCTGAATGAACATATGCCAGAGGTCTGTCCAAACGTGGGCCCCCGCGACTCTCCACACTATTTAGCCCTGCAGCCAAATTGACTGAGCAATCGTGGATGGTGGCACGACAGCTGTCCTCGATCGTCCAACAAAATCCATCATTCGTGTTTAGCGTAGCTGCAGCCGAGAAACGCAGCCACAGACTCCGACATTCTCGGCTCGCAACGCATGCGCGTCGATTTGGAAATTTGTTCCTACAGCGCTGCATGTGCATGCGCACGCGTCGACATGAACATCATCGAACTTTTCCCATCTCTCCCATTGTTGCTCCCAAGCAGCAGGTGATCAGTTGTGAAGTGATGTGACGGCTGTATAATAGACCCGCAGCGCGACATTGAGCCTTTGATCGCCGGATAGGAGTCGTCGAGAGGTTCGTGCACGGCACCGCAGCCCCAGGCTGACGCTTCATTTCGGAGGAGCGACCCG